GGCTGGCATTCTGTGTAGGACTAAAGCTCACTGGTGGCACGTGTCAGGCACGGCCAGAGCCATGTTTTGGCTAAAACACGTCCCCAGCCTGGCATTCCCTGCTGTCCTGACACTGCTGAGGGCAGGGGGCTCTGGGGCAGGGAAGCTGAGCCCTGGAGCTCTCTGGGGTTCAGCTCTGGGGTCTCCAGGCTCAGAGCAGAGCTGGTATCTGGCACCGGAGCTGTCTGAGCTCTGCAGTGCTCACAGGCAGGGGCTCTCAGCCTCTGCCAGCACCTTCCAGGGAATTCTCGCCATCCCAAACACCCAGGATCTCCCACCTGGCTGTTCTGCCCTGAAATGGGGTCAGCCCTTGGCCAAAATGTGCATTTTACCAAGATCACATCTCCCAGCAGTTATAAGCAGCAGATGTTCGTGTCCTTGTCCAAACTCCTATTGGAGAGTGTGGCCATGATTCAATTTTAGGGGATTTTTTTTTTTCCCAGCCATGCTGCCTCTCCTCTCCAGGTGCCAGGAGATGTTCTCCTGCTCCCCTGCCTGCTCTGGGGTGTTCCTGCAGTGCTCCAGGATGGCACCATTCAGCTGCTGCTAGGGCAGGAGCAGTGAAAGCAGGGGACTCTTCCCACCCCACACTGCTCTTTGGGGTGTTTCTTGGGGGTTTGGTGCTGCTGGTTTGCTCTGAACAGCCATTTCACCCCCTGCTTCTCTGGTGGTGGCCCTGGGCACTCAGGCCCTGTGAGATGTTCCCTTTGGGGACACAGCTCTCCTGCTTTGCCTTTCAGGGCTGTCCTGGCAGACGGGGGCTGGTGGGACCCAAAGGAGACAAAGTGAGTAGCCAGACCCAACAGGGGTGTGCACGGTGTGGGGTGCAGGGTGTGGGCAAACACTGCAGAGGGTTTGGGTTGCTTTGGGTTGTTTTAGGGGTTTTTCATCATGATGGAGTTCCTGTAGCTGCAGGGTGCTGGCCCTGCTGGTTTGTGGGTTTGGAAGGGGAAGGAGCTGGGTTCAGYGGGGARTTTAARCCYRGGMTCAGGACTTCACCTTGAGYTCCAGGGGCRGTTTTGGGCACCACAGTATCAAAAAGGTGTTGGGTTATTTGAGAGAGTTCAGGGGAGGCCACAGGGATGGGGAAGGGTCTGGAGGGGCCCACGAGGAGCAGCTGAGGGCACTGGGATTGTTCAKCTGCAGCAGAGACTGAGCTCAGAGCTCCCCGGGGCTGCAGCTCCTCCCGAGGGGCAGCTCCGATCTCTGCTCTGGGACAGGGACAGGAGCCAGGGAACGGCTGGAGCTGGGCCAGGGCAGGCTCAGGCCGGA